TGCTCTCATTCACAGCTAAGAATGTATTTGTTCATTTCTGTTGCTGTTTTTCCAACTACTTTGTCAGGTTTATTCTAATTCAGATAATTTAAAAGGTCAGTAAGAACTACGGGTAATAGGCAAAAGCTTTTTGACCAAATTTTCTATTGTGGAAAGACGAGTTTTTTTCAGTTATTTTTTCAAAGCAGAATAAAGTACTGTGTAAAACAGGCACATAATTATTTTAGTTTTAAATCCTTTTATTTCAGATAAAGCATGGTGCTATATACAGAAAAATGTGGGTCAAAGCAAGAACAATACAGAATGGGCAACACATTTCTTAAAACTTACAAGATGCTTTTAAAAGCGTCAGTGCACCAACAGTAATGTATATTCTTCTCACTCCTAAACATATCTAGGAAGAAGTCCTGAACAACCACATTCTATCCCTATCTTTCATCTAATGACAAATTCAGGTTTCAAACAAATCTTACAGCAATGGTTTTGGCAAATAACTTTTGCTAGCATAACATATTGAAGAAAAATAACATTGCTAATGTCTTATTTCAAACAGCATCATTCAACTACGCAAATTAAGCACGCTGTATGTTTAGCAAACTCTAGGCTAGGCTCAGTCAGCTTTCCTTTTCCTCTTGCTTTCTCCTATTTAATTATCTTTACAGCCTCAGAAAAAATCATTAAAAACTTAATTCCTCACCCTAAAGTAAATCTGCTTTCCTCTCATTTTCTCCTATAATCTAAGTCAAGAAAGTACAATAGTAATCTTTTCCTTCTATCTGTATATTGAAGTTACACTGAACATCACAAAGGACAAAAGCTAATCTATTTTGTATCAAAGAACATGAACAGGGTTGTATGGTTATTTTTACTTTCGGTGACAGTGAGTGGATTCCAGGCTAACAACAGAAATCTACCAAAGACAGGCACTCAGAGAAAACCCCTAGCAATAAGTCTTTCCTGTATGTGTGTGACACTCTTAGGCTCTAACTCAGGACAGCAGTTAATTCTTTACTGTAATTCTCTGTTTCACATATTTGCCCGCTAAATGTGGGCTTTTAACTTTTAACATTAAGGATTTGCGCCGACAGGCCGTGATGCCAGTTGCGCAATTTGGCAAAGCGTGGGCTGTTACGTTCCGTTTCAAACCTTTCCCTGTGGCATGAAGAAAGAGAGAGAGAGAAAGACAGAGACAGAGAGAGAGAAAGACAGAGAAGAAAGGAGGGAGAAAGAAAGGGGTTAGGGAACATGACTACTACTCCCCTGCCTTACAACTAGGGCAATGGCAATTTATTTGGATTTTTTCACAGCTTTCAAATCAGCGCAAAGAAGGCTGGGCGATCCTTTTTAGACTGCATATGAAGTGTTTTGCAGTTGTTCATTTCTGAGAAGTAACTTGATATAACTTCATATTCTGTGCCTTTTGCTTCGTATTACAGGGCTGCTTTTGCTAGAAATGCAGTGTAATCCCGGTGTTTTCCTGCCAGTGGGTTCTCTCGGCTCTTCCCTCCCCAACCCAAGCAGTCAGTGAAAGTTAATTCAGTACAAGAGCAAAATCAATGCAATATTTTCCATTCTGTAGTATCTACGTCAATGTGAATGTAAGTATAGACAGATACATTGATACATTTACCTCCTGCTGTCCTGTAATCAGCCACAGGTTTCAGCAGTACTTTCTATAGGTTCTCTCAATAGGAGTGAATATAAGCATTGACAGTAGCATAAATATTTCTGGCCATTTGTGTGAAAGAGCAGAATGAAGTGGGATTTTAAGAAGCACAGTCCTGTGAAGTGTCAACCACCTCTTGTGAATACCTTTGACTACAGACTGAGGCACTTGAGCAAGTTGTAAGCAATGTTCAGCACCTCTCAGAGCTTAAACTTTTCTAGATGTTCTAGAGTTTGAATTCAGGTTTTGCAAATAAAAAGCTGGAGGAAGATGACATGGGATGAGAGCACAGTCAAGGAGATGTATATCAAACAGAATGGAAAATGTTATTTGCAAATGTATTTGATTCATTGCAAACAAGTAATTTTCCCTTCATTATTTAAACCCCAAGTGCAAGGCAACCATGTTAATGCAGCAGAACTCGAGAGCAAAATCAGCCAGACAGAAAGGAACAGACCAGGCTGGTTTTAATCCTCAGTCTGAATATAGCACAAGACAATAAACAGAGTAAATGTCAACAAATTCACTGATATTTCTAATTTGTCTTTCTAAATCTAAGGGAATCATGGTGTATGGCTTTTTGAATTATCTTTTATATTTTGAAGTAATTAAAAAAGTATTTCTCGCTGAAATGCTGAAACTTCATGGTGGCGTTTTTTCAAGTTACATTGGAACACACTAGTTACAGTGGGTCTTACATTAAACTTAAGAATTCCCTTACTGCTTCAAAGATAAATCTCTCCATTCAAGAAAGCAGTATTAAGAAATATCTGCCTGACTTGAAATGGATATCATCTTTCTGGAAAGCATTTCCTAACAATCATCACAACAGCAAACTGTTTTTATATGTTTTTATATATATATATATATGTTATATATATGTTTATATATATGTTGCTATGTTTTTATAGCATATAACTGTATGCATGCCTTCAAAATAGCTGTAACACAAACAAAAGGCTGTCATGTACTACACTCTTTAGCATTAACAGAAAGGAATACTCTGCCACCTGAAGATTCCTAAGCTTTTTAGGTTCTGTTCAGAGAGTGCGTCAAGAAGTTGGAAGGAGCAATCCAGAAGTGACAATACCCTGCCCAAAGTAAGCTGTATGTTCTTTTTTCAAGCATTTGTAAGAAATCTTTGGCATTATATGCTGACTACACTGAAGAACTGACACAGGGAGAGAGAAGAAAGCACCAGAGAAGGATTGCTCACAGTCTGCTCTAGGGTCAAAGTTCTCCATTCTAGCTGTGTAAGTTTTGGAAAATAAAGTGTTGCCCCCCACAAATGTCAAAACAGTTCAGGATCAATGCAACATTGAATTATGCAAGACTGTTTCCACAATTCCAAATAAGCCTTTTGCTTTTGGGAGTCCAGAAGCCTTACAGTTGATTCCAAATGGCAGGCATGGTGCAAGGTGTGGTTGTACATGTTATGGGGTGTCTGGAGAAGACACTAACAAGGAGTTCCTACTCCATTACTGTGGTGGGAGAGGAGAGTTCAAGCATGAATTTTGTGCATCTGACACAGGTCCTTCCATCCTTTACAAAACCAACAGTGGCAGAGGACCCTCCCAAAAGATGGAGCAGATAGGGATCAATAAACCCAAGAAAACATACGATGGACCCATGCATAGCCAGGACTATTGCTAAACAAAGTCCAGAGGTGGAGTAGGTACAATGCTTGAGGCAAGCACCGCACCACCAAGATCAGGCTATCAGTCTGCTAAGCTATCAGTGTGCTAGGTAGGAGGCCCCTGCAGAGCTCATACCCATGGCACTGTGCCACTGCATAACTACCCAATATATTCCCTTCTGCCTCTGCTACCAATGAGTATCCTTCAATTTCTCTAGGTAATGCAGCTGTGCCTACATACATTCAAAATCATTACTGTCCTCGCGAGAGGAAGAAAAAAAAAAAAAAAAGGATAACACACACTGATACCTCAACACTGCAAGACATGCACTGTACAGCAGATATAGTCATGTACTGTAAATTACTTCACTGTCTTAAACATATCCAATACCATGTTAATTCCCAATACCTAGTATCTTACAAACCCACAGACAACAGCTAGAAAGATTGCTTCTTTATGAGAATATGTTCCTGTCAGATGCATGCAGGGGAACTGTTAGGTTCAGTACAACATCTTAAATCCCACCATAGTAAGGATTTGGATGTGTGCTATTACATCAAAGCACGTAATGCACAACACGTTCACTACGAATTAGGCTTGCACATTTGAGGGAAGAAATGAATCCACAAGGGATGTAATGTCAAGCCTGATACTCAGACACCCAGCCATGAACTTCAGTGAACTGCAGTGGAAGGTTTATAGCAGACATAAACTGAAAGTAAACGTATTGTATTTTCACCGGGATGATGACAGACATCTTTCTCACTGACTCAATGTTTGTAACTTGCTCTGTGATCAAAAGCTCAAAGCCTTTATGAAAGACACACAGCAGTAAAAAGAAGAAAAGGAAAAGTAGTAGTAGGAAAAAACAAACAAACAAAAATGTGAGTATCAAAAACACATCACAAGCCAGCCAGCGTATTAGAGAAGCTACCATGATATAGGGATTTCAAGTATGCAAACAGAAAATTAGGCTGCATGTAGGACGCTCCAATTAAACTTCAATTTTTAAGCTGTGCAAAAGAATCACTAATAAGTCTATTTCTTGGCCATGTAGGACAACATAAGGTGATCTCTGGTCTTTAATTCCTTGTTATCTCTCTGAGCATAACCATTTTATCAGCATTATTGTTAGGTCCTAAAAGACAAATACATTTCTCCACTAGCAAAAGCAGTCTTGTGCCTCTATATTCTACAGGTTTGGGTTGCACTAATTTCAGACAAAACATAAGCGAATGGTTATGGATATGGATGGAAACAACTCCTTTACTGTATCATTCCAGATGAATCGGATAGCAGTCAGGATCATCCAAATAAATTGCACATAAGTTTCAATGCTATCACAACATTATGTATTTTCATACAGTTACACCATCAAGCAGTTACACAGGGCTTGGTCTTAGGATCTCATTGCATTCACACACGCAGTAAAGTACACGGAAGTTGCATGTGCAGAGAGCTTTCAGATCTGAAATCACACTGTTTGTACCATCTTTCCTAAATACATGCCAGTTTGTTACCCTTTTCATTCAAATTATTCTCATTGATAGCATTTTAATTTTAGTGACATTTAAGCAAAAGTGTTAAAGTATTTTAAGACAACAAAATAGTTGTATATGCTTGTATTAAAGCTGTTTTAAAACATTATTTTGTTATCAATAAAGAGAACGCCATATTTTTCACAGGGAGTGTCTTACCTTGATCTCCTCAGGGCTTCCTCATCTGGATCTTGCACTGCAGATAAAAAGGGTTGCAGTTAGAAAAAGAATGCAAAAAAGAAAGAAAGAATTGACTTTATGATAAAATTACAAATTCTTTAGAAGAGTATCAAAAGCCTGTCTAAAGGTACACTCATGCTCTTTGCAGCAGTAGGTTTTATAACAGTGGGAAGAGGAGTAGTTCCCTAGAGCTAAGAAGCAGGATGTTAGGGGGAAAGTGGCTATTACAAGTACTTTCTCATTCATTTATTAGCGATGTTGCACAGCTGTAGGCAATGATCCTACAGAGAGGGTCTGCTGTTTTGTCAAAAAGCATCAGAGACAGCAGCACATTTATACAAAGAGAAAATAAGTATTTCCCTGCGTTATGGGAAAGGGCCCTGAACTGCCTTCTCTCTAGATCAGAAACAAGATCTGAGGTTAGTTACCAGGTGATCAGAAAAACATTTCCATAGTCAATAAGCAGCAAAGTTCAAGCTCCCATTACATTCACAGCAGATCCAGGTTTACATAAAAAGCTGACACAGAACCATTTGTACGATGCAAACGATGATCCATGGTTTTTTTGACCTCAGGAAGTAACTTCTATAAAAGACTGTGACAGGAGAACTAAGTTATCTTTTTTCTAATGAACTGACTGCTTTGTTTGTCTAAAATGCTGAAAAGTGAAAGATTACTCTGCACAGATTTGATTTGTAAATATGAAGAATTTCAGGGTCACAGATGTTCTTCTGCTGAGAGCCTTGGCAGATCAAATAATTTGCTTCTTAAAGCAAAGGTGAGATGTAACACTTCGATTTCATAGTTCCCTTTAGTTACATACAGGGCTCTCAGATCTTAGCTCTCACTGAAAGTAACTACAAGCAGGACGTGAATTGTCCTGGACTATCGGTCACTAATACTGGTGCAAGAAAATAAAAGCATAATCTAAAATTAGAATGATGGGGGTGTTTTGATATTTGACTTACTGTACTCCGTTCCAGTCATCTGGGCAAGGATGCGGAAAGACTTAGACTGCAGATTGGCAGAACGGCGGCCCCAGTCTTCAGTTTCATCTTCAGGCTTGTTCTGAGTTTTAAGCACAGCCTGATACACTGGAGAGGCACTGTCTACGTGAGGATCTTTAATAGGAAGGGTACTGCAATTCAGAAAGTGAAACGTTGTGAAACAGCACATGGTAACTTTCATCTCAACCTCACTCTGGTCTTACAGCTTCTTGTCCAAAATAACAGCAATCTAAAGCAAAGCTTTGAAAATATCACTTTTAATGAAAAATACATAGATCAATATTAGGTGAATTAACAGAGATTATAACTTTGAAATGACCTGCTATCACTCAAACTGTATATTCAAAACTATGTGAAAATACATGGAAATGTCTGTTCATGATTCCTCAGCCAATGCAGCCACAAGCTTATGGTGGTTATAACAATGTGTGATGGTAAAGGAGACTATGCCAGTCAAAAATATTTATTTCTCTGAGCATTCTTGTCCAATATCATTTCTTACAAAAACAGCTTCATGTTGATATTATGTTTTGTTATAGTTTTGAGACAGAGTACTTTAAGGTTGCATTTAGAAATAGAAAACATATTTCATTATAAAAGTAATATAATAGGCTTTTGCATTTTTTTTCCAGAGATCATTATTCTTAGCCAAAATTCTGAATTAAACATCCAGCTGCCACAACTCTGGATTCATCATTTACTAAGCTTGTGAAACATAAGAAATCTTGACTTGTACTCAAGATTTCCACACATATATTTTATATCTAAAATCTTCAGCAGCAGAACATACCTCAGGCTCTTACAATGCCCCTAATTGCCTTGAACAGTGACATATCCAGAAACTTCCAGTTTTGCACACCTAAACCAAAAGCTACAAAACTCTGTAGCACAAATGAGGTAAGCTCCCTTTGATTAATAATGCAAGTGAGAAATAGACTTATTAAAAGCTTTTTTATTTCTGCAAAAATAATTTCTGCATAGCAGTTTAAATAGTGACAAACTGCAGAAATATACAGTGAGGGAATGATATATGCAGTCATATAGTAATTTGACTCCATGCCTTCTGTAAATACAAGGTCTATTTCTGCAGCAAGTGATTTATTGTAACTGGTTTAATGTGCTATTCCATGTAGAGCTTTGCAAGAAGCATGCTCAACTTCACAAAAACTGAGCAATGACTCTAAAACGTGAAGGGCCATATGGTCCAACTAAGTCAGTGCTATAAAGTTCAGGGAGCGGTCACCTGCTGTAAAAGTTGCTTCTGTACTTCAGGCTCAAACTTGGAATTCTTTGATGCCATTTTGCAGAGAAAATCTACAGGGAACTAGTTTTTGTGCTTTGAAAGTATGAGAAAAATCAAGAAAAAGCCCCAAAGTATGTCTGGTATTCTACAAACAACAAAAAGTTACACTAATAAAAACATATCACCAGGCAATGCCTTAAATATCTGTACTTCCCAGCTGACACATATCTCTACTTCACATTGCATAACATCAGCTGCTTTAATGGATTTGCACCTGACAATAGCATAGATGCATTCTTCAGGTAAGACTGCAGGGGGGTTCAAAAACATGATGTGTGCTTACTTACATATGGACTTGCAGCACAGGCAATACAGGGTTGTATCATGCCCCAACTCCTTAGGACTATTTTTTTTTTTTTTTAATAAAAGGAGTATTTATATTCCTTATAACTCCTGAATATACCAACTTCTCACTTTCTTGAGGGCCCGCTGGGCACAATCAACAGTTCCTTTCCTTTTGTGTTTCAGTACGGTTACCTACATGGTAGAGTGTAGCTTACGGGAAACAAAAAAAAAAAAAACAACCACAAAACAAAAACCTAAATAGGAATCTTCAGTTCAAGATCTGAAAAAAAAGCTCCCCCAAAGCAGTCCCAGGTTTTCAACTTTCCCTTTCTTCAGGCATTTGTCTTAGTATTGACTAAGCATGCAGTATCTTTTGTCTTCTTACTGTCCTAGGTGACTGCTTTTATCTGGCCAACAGTTAATATAATCTTACACTTGCAATTTAATGCTGCTGAAGTTTAAAAAACTGCTGGATATGATAACAAATTTCACAACTGCAGACTGCTGCAGACTGGATAATAAACAACTACATAAATAATAGTGCTGATTTCAACCATGGACTACTGTGGCAACAATGGTATGCAAACCATGGACAGTTCAAATTCCTTTCTTTAAATGCTCTAGCTAAAATGCTTTATTCTTATATTATGACCAGTATACAAAGAAGCTGTTTAAAAGTGTATGTATAGATATGCCATTTGCATAAATGTAGTTAAAACAAAACAAAACAAAAAAACACCTCTAGAGCCTAGATCACAAATTTTACAGTAGTAACATGTGGCATTAATATGACATATTAATATCTTTGTGGTAGATGATTAAGGCAGGAAATGGAGCTTGGTGAATTAACCTTCCCTAGCAAAGTGAAATATGCTCTTATAAATTGAATTGGATTAATGCAATACATTGGAATATTTCCAACTCTATCTTTAATGCAGCAGGCCTCTTTCTTTGTCTAAAATTGTAATTATATTGCAGATGAATAACCAGGACATTTGAGCCACTCAGCATGGAAGTGCAAAACACAGAGAATCGCTAATTATAAGCACTTCATAAAGCTAAATGTGACAGTTGACTCTTAGAAATAGCCGGATGATATACATAACAATGTTAATAAGTAGCTCTTATACCTCTTGTTGTTTTTGTTTTTTTTTCCATCTGGGTGTGCATGTGCAGAAATATCATGCATCTTTAAGCACATTACCTCAAACTGATGTTACTGAAAAAAAAAATCTGCCCTAAGGAGTTAGATCTTTTGAAGGTTTTTCATACAATCTCCTAAGATACTACAGTAGGATTTGACAAAAAAACTCTCCCTTTTCCACATCATCATACAGGTCAGGTATTATTAATACTAAAATGATCTTTAAAGACAGTCAAACCTCTTTGCATAAGTACTAATGTGATTTTATCTTGCACTTGAGTATAAACCGTGGCTTACCATGTGAATCGCTTCCTGGAATCATTACTCAGTTTTAATTTGGCCATGTCGATAATTGGTAAGTAAAAACACAGGAAGGACTATAGAGTTCTATAGCTAACATAAGCATTCAACAAAATACTGTGACATAATATATTAGACCGATTATACCTAATAATGAAAGTTCCGAGAGGTAAAAACAGTAAACCAAACAATTCCTGCAAGTTGGTAAATCACGCAGCCAAGTTGACTTATTGTGAAAAACACTAGACTTTACCTAGTTTGTACTATCACATTATTGATTCTGCTACTGGAACTGTTAGATCTTAATCCTCATAAAATTGTTGGATTTACATCTGCTTACAGAAATCGTGAATTTGGCTGAAACTGCCTAATGGAATTCAAAAGAGGTTTGACAGAGATGTACTTGAAATACCTAATCACAATGTTTTATTGCAACCAACTCTTGGTTCTTGGTATATCAAAATCAACTGTAACAAAGCAGCATAGAATAAGGAAAGACATGAAGTCAGGACAGTTAAACAGTGCTACCTTCAAGCTCCAGCATGAGGTCTGAGTTAAGTGCAGTGTAGTTTATAAGCTTTTCTTTAAGTTCTCCTTGGTGGCCCAGTATATGTGGGTTATTCTCTAAGCAACATGCACACGATGCTGATCTCACTGACAGGAAGCATCACTGATTTCAAATGGTCAAGATGCAGAATGAATCCTTATCCTAATTCTAATGACACTGATAACAAAAGTAAACAGTTTTTGCCCGCCAAAAAGAACCAAAATTCTTTGGATCTTCAGTGCAAGTACACTTACTGTCTTACATACTGCCTCGTGGCTTCAGGACTTACCAATAATGTAATGCTAAAAGCCCAAAGAAGAGTAAGTGCCAAGACCACATTATAGGCAGAGAATTGAGACCAAATGAATCAGTACGTAATTTGGTCTGCTTTTATATGAGAAGCTTCTCATACAATTATTTCTGCATTAAGCAAGCTCTTATCTCAGACTTGATCAACTAGCAAACTAAAGAGTATCCTCAGTTTCCACTGCAAATTCAAGTTCAGAATAACACAAATGTCGAAGCAACACCTTAAAGAAATGAGTTGTGTGTTTGATCAAATGATTGCAGGTCAGTTAATGGGTAGGCTGTTGTTACATCAACAAGAACCCTGCCTTTGTATTATTAACACAGCATTCTAAATCTAATCTACTGAGAAGAGCAAAAAAAAAAGTTACAAAACAGGCTGTAACACACAGCACAGCAGATTTAAAGAGTTTCCTGCACCTGACTGAATGTAGATATAGAAACACCGGTTTCCTCTGGAGTCAAGTGAATGTTAGGCTTGGGAGACAAGTTTTTAAGCATTAAAGTACTATTTGCGTTATATAATGCCATAGCATTTAACAGAAAATACCAATATATCAATCCATGCCTATGAAGCATGTGAACCATTACAAAAACCACAGTCACAATGAATTTCTTTCCTTGTACTTCGCAAATCGGAAATATGGGTCTACTTACACCTGTGGAGATTCACTGAGCTATGGTCAACATGAACAAAAGGTTGAGAGGAAAGAGTCCTCCTCTCAATTAGGGAGGGTCATGATAAACACAATGAAATAATATCAGTGCAGAAGAATTAGTGAAATAAAAAGTCTAAAAAATAGAAAAGAAATGGCCAGTAGAGGGGAACACAAGCAAATACATGAAGTATCTGCATTTTGAATAAGGCTGCAGCTAGCATTTAAAAGAAATTATGTTTGTGTGTGTTGCTGTACCTATATTTTGGTGTCATGTGATAAGCAGTTAAGTTCTGTTTTAGGTAGAAAGAAACTTGGTAAGAAAGAAACAGCACTACATTCATGCCACATATAATTTCAGTTAAGCCATAAGAAATGTGGATAAGTTTATCAGATAAGAATAGCCACAATATGCACTAGAAAAGCAAAATTATTAAAGATCAATGGATTTTGCCATAGTCCAAAGGATACCAAAGCATATGCATAAGACATATGCATATGTACAATATGTAATCTAGGGATAGGGATAATACAGAACATTCTGTTCTGAAGAATAAAACATTGGACAGTACTAAATAAATATGTTGCAT